GGCAGAGCTGTGGGGGCAGGGTTGGAGTAGCAGGGGGCTGTGGGTTGGGAGTGAGGGGCACCGGCAGAGCTGTGGGGGCAGGGTTGGAGTAGCAGGGGGCTGTGGGTTGGGAGTGAGGAGTACTGGCAGAGCTGTGGGGGCAGGGTTGGAGTAGCAGAGGGCTGCAGGTCGGGAGTGAGGGGCACCGGCAGAGCTGGGGGGGGGGGGGAGTCCAGGGCTGGGATGGGGGGCAGTGCTGCAGGTTGGCGTGGGTAGAGTTTGCCCGGGGTCTACATGTACCTCCCAGATGAAGGGAGCCTGCAGCCTTCCAGCTTCACTCCCAGAGCAGGCACTGGGGCGGGCAGAGGGCGAGCGGGCACAGGAGCAGTGTATCAGTGAATCCAGCACAAGGGGCGGGAGCCATTTCCCCGTGGCGAACCGGAGTGCTTGGAGGGGAGGAGACAGGAGAGGTCCCTGGCCAGGGCCCTGCGGACGTGGGGAGGGAGAGAGAAGGTGCAATGGGGGGGGAGCAGCTGGTGGAGATGAGCCACTTGGGGCCACAGTGACGGGTCCTGGCTCCAGCCTGGCCGTGCTGGGCGCACAGGGCACCAGGGAGCACCGGGTGGTGGCTGGAGCCAGAAGGGGACGCGGTGACCAGTTAGCGGGTTCCAGGGGCCACAACCTGCCCCTGGGAGGTGTTCCTGGGGACCAGGGTCCCTGCTGCTTCTCTGGGTTAGTCCTTGCTCCCTGGGGGGTGATGGGAACCTTCGTGAGGCCGGAGTGTTCCCGGGGGCCAGGGCCAGTACCGACTTTGCCGGAGTTTGGGACTAGAGGCGAATGCCATGTGCAGCACCGGAGCTGTTCCTGCAGGGCCCAGCGACTGGGAGCCCAGGGGAGCGTGGGGGAGAGGAGCTGGGAAGAGCAGGATACTGGCCAATGGCAGAGAGCTGTGGTGGGAGGGGATCTGCCTCCCCCCTCCTGCATGCCCCTTCTTACCACCCCTCCCCTGGGGACAAAGCCCCTGCCCTGCCCCGGGTAACCCAGCCAGTGCTGGGGTGAGCTCCCTTTCCTTCCCTCCCCGCCTCCGCCACGCAATGGCTCCAGTCAGACTCACCCCACGCCTCCCCATGTTGGGAGTCGGGACCCTTCAGATCTCGGTTCCCAGCTCGGCCAAGCCCCTGCTCCCCCCAAGCCTCCCCATGTACCCACCAGGGTCCCGCTCCCTCCCTCCCCCCACACCTCCCCACTATACCCACCGGGGTCCTTCTCCTTCCCCTCCCCCTCCCACGCCTCCCCATGTACCCACTGGGGTCCTTCTCCCTCCCCCCTGCCTCCCCGTGTAACCACGGGGGTCCCGCTCCCACCCACCCCTCCCCGTGTATCTGGGGGATGCCCCAGGAATGGGCTGCACTCAGGACTTCGGCCGAGGGCTTTGCCTACCCGCAGCCGTTCCCAGGCTGGCCCGGCAGAGCCCAGTGGGCTGCGCCGGGCTGGCTCTGTGGCTCCCCGCTGCTCTCTCGCCCTTCCAGGGGTTGCCAAAGTGCCCCTCACCCTGGTGCCCGGCCCAGCCCACCGTGCAGACTCCACTGCAGCCGGGATCTGGAGGGGTTTCGCTGGCCCGTGTCTGTGCCCAGTTGGCACAACGGGATGTGCTCGGCATTTCCCCCTTGCTCGCCGGGGAAACATGAGTGAGGGGGGCAGACAGGGCATGGGGACCCCGCAGGGCAGGGAGAGGCAAAGGGTCTCTTCCAGCCCCAAGACCCCTGCTCTTGGCACCCAGCTGCAGTCTGTGGCTTTCACGCGCTCCCTCCTGCACCCCCTGAGTTTGGGCTGGGACCCAGAGGGGGCCGTGCCGCCCGCCCGGCGTTCACAGACTCGCCAAGTCGCAGGCTGTGGCTCTTTGTGACAAGTGGCAGCTGCTGCCAAAGTTCGCTGGGAAAGTTCTGTGGGCAGCGGCCCATTGCCCTGGCACACGGCGTTCGCCAAAGCCCCCGGGAGCCGCCCCCTGCCAGCTGCACCCGCCCGGCAACTCCCCAACTCCTTCACAGCCCCGCTCACAGCCGGGGATCCCTCAGTCCCAGCCCTGTTCTGCTCCCCCCACCCACTCACCTGCTTGCCGGCCCCAGCCTCACTTCTCTCTGCGCTGCCTCCCGGACCCAGCAAGTGCTCACACCACGAGCCTCCTCTGCCAGCCCGAGCCGCCGTGCCGCCTGCCACCTCCACAGCCTCTGACTCAAGCTGCAGTTCATGAGTAAAACCCTAAGAGGGAGACGAGCAGCAACTTTTAACTGCTTCGCTGCCAGCCCCAGCGCTGCGCTGCCAGGCTCGGAGCAGAGCTCAGCTCAGCAGAGGGGCCGGCCAAAGAACATTCCCATCCGCTGGGTGGATCCAACCCGGCGGGACCTGATCGATGCACCCTCGGGGGCTCGGGGAACGAGCGGACGCAATCACCGAACCATTAGCAGTTACCTTTGAGGACTCCCAGCGGACGGGCGAGGGCCCGGACGACTGGAGAAGGGCAAACATTGTACCTGTCTTTAAAAAGGGGGGACAAAGAGGACCCAGGGAACTATCAACCGGGCAGCCCGACTTCCATACCTGGAACAACTTGTTAAACCATCAGTTTGTGAGTCCCTAGAGGATAAGCGAGTTCTAAGGACCAGTCAGCATGGGTGTGCCAAGAACAAATCATGCCAAACCAGCCTCAGATCATTCTTTGCCAGGGTCCTGGCCTAGTGGCTGGGGGAAGCAGGAGACGTGGTAGACCTTGGTTTTAGTGAGGCTTTTGACAGTCTCATAGTAAACTAGGGGAATGTGGGCTAGGTGAAATGACTAGAAAGTGGGTGCACAAGTGGCTAAAAGACTGGACTCAGGCGAGTTCTCAATGGTTCCCTTCAACCTGGCTTCAGCTAGGGAAAGGCTGGTGGTAAGGACGACGGGGATCAATTGTTCTCCATGTCCACTGAAGGTAGGAGAAGTGATGGGCTTAATTTGCAGCCTGAGAGACTGAGGTGAGATACACCTCTACCCTGCTGTCCTCGGGAGCCAAAAAATTTCACCTATAACGCGGTAAGACCGCGTGATATTGAACTTGCTTTGATCCGCCGGAGCACGCAGCCCTACCCCCCCGGAGCACTGCTTTACCGCGTTCTATCCGAAGTCGTGTTCTAGCGGAGTAGAGGTGTATTAGGAAAAGCTTCCTAACTCCCGGGAGAGCGACGCACTGGAGCAGGGACCACGGGAGGCTGGGGGGTTTCAGAACAGGATGGACAGACCCCAGTCTAGGTTTACTCCGCCCTGCCCCAGCGCAGGGGCTGGAGACGGTGACCTCTCGAGGTCCTTCCAGCCCGACACTCCCAGGATTCTGATTCTCAGAGCAGCCTCGGTGCATGGCAGCTCCGGACTCACGTCCCACCAGACACAGCCCAGAGCAACTCCTGCCCTGCAGTGCTGGGCTTGGGGGAGGCAGGCCCCCCCAGCCAGAGGGCACCATGCTCTGCTCCTTGCTGCCTGGATCACAGCCACGCTCCAGAATGGCCCTGTCCCATTGGAACCCACAATCCCCCATGCTCCGGTTGGGCCAGCACTGACCCTTCTGGCCATCTCACCTGGGGCTGGGCCATCCCCTCTCCCCCACCACCAGTACCAACCTCCCATGCTCCCGCCCCTCCCCAACGTCCCCCTGCTCCCGGGCCATTTCCAGGATGAAATCCTGCCATGTCTATAGAAAAGGCACCTGGGAATTTTGCAGGAACCCCCCCAGCCCCATGAGGCCACAGCCCCCACGCACTGGCA